GTAGTAAATGCAGTAACTATCATTATCATTAACTGTTATGATGGCTTGGAAATCTTACAGATCAAAAGGATTTTTCTTACACACATCTATGAAATATATCATTTTTTTTTTTTTGATGAAATACTGATCTTGTAGATTTAGAGATATGAATATTTGATGGAATATTTCTCCCTAGTTTAACTCAAGTGTGATATCTTGATATATATCTTTTTATCATCATGATCATATATTCCAATCATCTTTAATTCTATGATCAATGACTCAGTATAATTCCTGTATGCTCCATAAATGTGTATCTCTGGATACATTTCAAGTTTGCTAATAATATATATTCTAGTGTGGATCATAGCTCTTTTCAGACTCAAATAGAAAAGTGCATGCAATGAGAACGTTTCCTAATGGTTGATAAGGAAAACAGATTTGTGGAAACTCATTTACCATCTATTATAATAGATTATAAGCCAGTGATAAGTTGGTGACAAGTGCCTAAGGCATCATAAGATCCTGGGGTAATTTTAGAGGCTGAGTTAAATATAAGCTTATTATTATAGATAATCAGATTAACAGCAGATTGTATTACCAATCTATATGCAGGTGTGTTTCTCTGGCAGTACTGAATAACATATAAGCCTATGCCTTTCTAAACATGTCCTTGGTCATGCATAGAAAGGAATATCTGAATAGTCAAAATATTTTTGATAAAACTTGACAAATTCACAGTGCTTTATTTGGAATTCACAAAAATAAGTAAAATTATGTAGATTCAACTAAAGTACCTAGTCTCTCTACCACATTTGATAATTACCTTTGGCAGTATTTATTAAACGACAGCTGAAGTCTATAGAATCAGCTGTAATAAATATGCTTAGGCCACACCAAATGGAACAATTGGTCTACGGGTTTTCAGCTGAAAAAATGGAGCGAGCGCGCAAATTTTTTTTATGTGTCAAAATACAAGCACCCGAGGTTGCATTAGTTAACAAAACAGGAAACAAATAAGATGAAAAAATATCTAGCCATATTATATGCACTATCCACTAAATAAAATTTTTGTCGTTTTTCAATGTAACATTCGTAATACATTGAGTTCTCAAACAAAAAAACCTTATTTGAATCGGTAAAAGAACGGGCTCGGGTCAGGCGCAAGTAAGCTCGGGTGAGTAACGAACGTGCAACTTATATGGGAGATAACTAATTTTTAGCATATTCGATTTACCAGACTCAATCGACTTGGGTACTTGCTTTGTTACGACAGAAATTGTGTTTGTTTGTTTAAATTTGATATTTTAAAAGCAGATGATAAATTTATGAATTTCTCAAGCATTAAAATTAAAATAGCCAGATTTGATTAATTTCAAAAATGATCTCTATCTCCATCAGTCATTGTGTAATATTTGTCGCAATGCGTTGTGATATTGTGATTGTAACTTTGCTATTAGTATTTATAAGACAAAAATATAGTCCATGCTATAGAATCTTTTAGGGAAAATTGATCATAAAAATGATGACATGACTATTTTGTTCAACAGGACTAGGTTTAGGGTGGGCGATTTGACTTGTTAATCCATGTGAGAGGAAACATCATAAAATAACATGGTAGGTAGCGGCGATTGTTTTTATTATTCAAAAAAAAAAAAAAAAATTTTTTTTTGCATTATTTACGTGCGGCGAATCTGTTGACCAATCAATCCATTTGGTGTGGCCTTACAGTAAGAATGTAAAATCATGTCAGTACTGTGAACCAACAACACTCTAGCTAAATCATTCAGATAGACTTCCAGTGTCAATGAGGAAGGAAGGTGGTGCTAAGACAATGAGATATTGATCTAGAAAAAGCATTTCTTACATTCATTACATTGTTACCATAACAATAAAGGGGATTAGTGTTGATATATCATTAGACTAATGGATAGGTGATCATCTGATGGTCGTTGGGCATTATACTGACCAGTTCCTGACTGGTACTAATATATCAGCATAATCTCTTTACCCTCTTGATTCCAGTGCTTTAGAGATTCTTTATTTTATTGCCTTCACGCTTTTAGTCCCCTAGATATTTGAATTTTGGATATATATTAGCATTAATCTCTTAATTCTTGTGATGCCAGCACGCTTGCAATCCTTACATTAACTTTTTAATAACCATATTTGGTTTCATTACTAAAAAATCAATGTAGGGATTGCACATTGCCTTGTCTTGTTTTGAATGAATATATATTATTGTTAAAGGTTATTAGGATTTAAAACTTGATATAGGAAATGAACTTAAAAACCATTAACCCATAATATTAACAATAGCTGAAATCTTGCTGCTGTCCAATTCCTCATCAAATTGTAGAATATTTTTAATCTAAGAATATTGTTACTGTCAGGTTCGTTCCCATCTTTTTACTTCCTCTACCATGAGGAATTGGTTATTTATAGAAGCAGTAGCTAGAAGCTTCTGTTTTACACTTTGAGTAAAGGTTATTCACATGTTTAAATGGCCTAAATGGTTGTTGAAACCCATTTAGAACTTTAATTATTGACAATAGAACCGACCATTTTGGTGCCATGGTTGTCAACTTGGCATCTTGTTTTATATTTCTGTATAACCAAAACAGCTCAACATTCATTTGGATAATTTCATCATTTTAATTCTAAAACAGTTACTTCATATCATAATTTGTAGATCAGTAAAAACATCACATGTGAAGTTAATGTTGTAGAAAATCTGAAAATATCAGCCTTCAAATCAATAGTAGAAATTCTCTGTAAATGAAAGATGTCTGTACTGCTATATCCCACTTTCCATAGAGAGTACAGTTAGTTTAAAATGATAATTTATCAAGGGGTTTAATTTGGAAAGTATATGATATCAGAGAAGGATATCAATATAATAGATGATGATAATCACTTTCTGATGATGATTAATGATATTGTTTAAGTCTAGAAATATAAAGAATAACAGTTAGAAATATTATTACCATCTATAACACCATCTCTAAATCTCAATTTCTTTTTCTCCAGATTATTATCATTTCTTTATCATATCTCATAATGGACTCAGAATAAAATATTTTTTTATCAATTGGTCTAAATTATTTTCCTTTTATCTCATTATTTTAATATCTTGGAGAAATTCAAAGAAAGCAGAAGGTAAAGCTTTTGAGAAAAAGTCAGGAAATGTTTGTCTGAGAGCATTTGGATTAATTTTAGAAAAGTAGCATCTAAAGTCTCTGGTTTACTAAAAACCTGAAATATGCTGCATTTTGAATATTTTTCCCAGCAATGTTAAACCGCAAAAGCAGTCGTCAAGGCATCATTTCTTGTGTTTAAGGACATTTGACCCAAGGCTATCTGACCATTGTCCAGCTAAAGCATGTTGGTGATATCTGTGGTATAAACTATGTAGGCATACCTGTTTCATGTAAAAACAACAAACTTTATGAATTCCCTACACCTTTCACCTGGGATATTTATGTTCTGGAGACCTGTTCAATCTTTAAACTGACAGTTTATAGGGGGCAGGGACAAGAAAACGCTGTCTTTATTATTGTTTAAAGTTTAAAGAGAGATGTATTGTCCACGTTAAACCTTGAACTGTGGTCACCTTGTAATATAAAGGCTAGTTATTTGGGTGTCAGAGTAATGATTAGTATAATATTGAAGGTTTCTTAGCAAACCTTTTAATATACTCTATTATTATAATAATAACCACAGGAAATTGATGTCTGGAATTTGCCTACCTAGCCAACCACGCCTTTGTCTGATTTATCTGACATTACAAAATGTTCACAATCTTGTTCATAAATGGTGATAGGTCACATTTGGTATAGATTGGAATCTTGGTAACCCTTCTTAAAGAAGTGTCAGAGCTAATGACTTGAGAGAATCTGGATCTGAATAATATGTAAAAAGGTTTGTGTGATACTTGCTTGATAGAATTTGTTGATATTTCTCTCCTTTGCATTAACAGTGATACACATCTTGTACACAACAATCTGTTCATCTCCATTGTTATTCACGTTCTCTGGTTGTCCAGATTGGCATGTTGGCAAATCATTCCCACCCATCAAGACATGCTCTTAACAACCATTATCTATGCTTATCACTGTAGTATCTTAAAGTAGTTGCTTGATGTATCATGTCAGTGTATTGATGTCTTTACTTTCTAAATTGAAAGCAATCTCTTGATAATCTATCTCCAACTTGGTATTAAAACAAATTTCTAGGTTATTATTTTATGAAAACTTGTACCCAGACTCTAATGTGGTTAACAGTTTCATCCTTTTTTTTCACAATACTAGTGACTTAAGCTAGACCTGAAACCAATTCAACAATTCCCTTTAACAAGAGCACACACAAGTAGCAATGAGTCTAATGAGGTGCATCAAAGAAGAATGTAAAACATTTATAAAATAGTATACAAGCTACCATAGCATAAACCTTTTTACCCCATATCAATCTAATGAATAAAATAGTGTGATTATGACACATAGTGTCAATTCAATGTATAATGAAAACATGTACAATTTAATTATATAAAAGTAAAAGAGTCTGTCAGACTGTAGAACAACTACTGATGGCATCAAATAACTACTTCCAGTACCAGTATCAATATATTAAACAGTAAATGTCAATGCATTGTTGACTAATGTTCAAATTTTATATCCAATGACAAGAAGAGTGCATTGAACAAATTGTTATTGTTCTGTTGACATCATAATCCTGTCTGTAATTTTACTGACAGTTCTTCTTAAAGATAAAAAGCCATATTGAGACAATCTTCTGTGTTTCAATTAGTGCCATCTTGATTTAATTTCTTAAGAAAAGGATTGGATCAATTTTTACTGTTTTAAATAAAATATGTATAATATTTTGTGAAAGAGTTTTAAAAAGTCAATAGCTAATGTATTAGAAAGAAATTCACACATAGAAATGCCAAATTATTTGACCATCTTTTCCTAGTGCTTTCAAAAAGGGGTCGAAAGCAATGGTTAGAATGTTGAAGCATTGAAATGTCACATAGTTGTTACTGTAACATTATATTTGACAGTTGTCATGGTTAGTAATAAAGTAATGAAACATACTCATGTAAGCACTGGCTGAGGTAACAATACTATTATATGACTAGAATGATGACATGTTTACAAGCTGAACTGTTTCTATTACTCTAACAACTTACTGATGACTTAACAATAGCTAGTTGTAATACTGGTCTTACATCATGTTTTATTTACTAACAATAGTAACCTGGTTCACAACATTGAATCAGTATTAACACCAGTAGAAGATGTAGCTGTTAACAGACCCTCTCTACTCCTCCTTCTCATCAGTCTCTTTAAAACCTCATCAGTTATCTAAGGTGTTAAATTGTCATCTATGCTTCATTAGGTATTTAGTATAGATTTAGTTAAAGATTGTCTGGTCAACTTACTGTCAAAAAATGTATTTATTCAAATTAAACATAAAAAACAGTTAATGGATTGCTGTTCCCAATCAAGCTTAGTTTCGAGCTGCACTGCATAGAAACTTAACTACATTTCGTTTCATTAGTCAACCCTACACTGGACACAAAAACTTTTAAATGATTCAGGATAGCAACATACCTGTATTAATCATAATTTCATGATTTTGTTTGAATCTAGTTCCGTGGACAATTTGAATATTAGAAAGTTATTAGAATAATGAGTATATAATAATAGTTTGTCTAGGATATTGTCTACAAGTCTTGATAGTAATTAAAAACTTCCCATAACCTCTCTGACATATTAAATATTAATACTACAACATATTATTTCCTAATGTATCATAGTGTCTGGGACAACTTAAATTAGTTGTTCTATAAATAATTCAATCTAAACCTGTAGCTTAACCTATCCTAATGTTAACCAAATCTTTTCTATCTGATTCTTATTTCACAAACAACACAATCTGAAATTTTGAAAAACAAGAAATAGTCTCATTATATTAAACCACCTGAATGTGTTTATTCATGGTATATATTCAGAAAGTGTCAAAATAGAAACTAGATATACTCTGTTGTTTATTAGAGAAAATTTGATTCCAAATTGCCCTTAATTCTTCCTTCAGATTTATATACAGTTCACAGGCAGTTCTATTTTCTGCCTGATCCAGCGAAAATTCTTGGGGGTTTTTTTCACGAAAGGGAACAAAAACAATTTGGACAAAACTGTAGAAATGTTGTAGATGTATTTAGGTGTATATTTATGGGAAATTTCAAAGGGACATGGATGCTGGTCAATTCTGTATTTTGACATCTTATATGAATTTGTTTGTCCTGACCATGACAGCATATACTTAATAAGATTATTTCTGGTAAATGTGTTTGCACATTGTCTGTTTACCATGTCCTGATCATGACAGCATATAACTAATGAGATTATTTCTGGTATATTTTCAGGTGAAATGTGGGGTCTATATATTAAACAATGTATAGAATTGATGAAAGAAAAGACTGGTACAGGTATTAAACAAAAGGTAAGGTCATTGTAAGGGCTAGTGAGTACTGAATGGGTCATTATTTTCACCTCTTGAGCTACCGGTGACCCGTAAGATAGAATGGTTATCTGTAATTAAACATAGTGTCAATATCAACTGGATTTTCTATTTATTATTTATTAACATTCTTACACACAATTCTGTTTTCTACTCATTTTTCATGATTCACTTCACTCCATTTAACTTCTGATAAATCTGATTCGCTTTTTTAAAATTTTTATTCTATGGTCAATTTAACAATTAAGATACAGGATGTCTAGGAATGATATGAAAGATTAGTTTGAAGGATGATCCTGTCTATTGATTTTAAAATTTCCTCTATCATTGATAAAATGTTAATGTTATTGGGTATTGATTCATTATAAACGCAAGAGTGAGAAAGGTAAAGGTAAATATAGACCACACAGAACTTGACACCTGTATAACCTTTTATTACCTATTTCAAGTGTTTCTTTCCTATATTAAATGCACATGTCCATATTCTTCATCTTATAATATCTATATAATATAGAATACAATAGATTCCTGATAAATAATGCCACATTTGCTGCTTGATCCAAATTTGATGGCTCTTTATGAAGATGAGAAGAAGCATGGCAAAATCCTGGGAACAAATATATTTGAATAATGCTATTTGTTTTTTAAAAAAAAAAACAATGCAAGATGATTTTGTATCTGATTTGATTAAATTTTGTATGAAAAATTTACGAAATCAAGAACCTTTAATTTTTGTGAAGTTTTAAAATATTATTATCTTTAAACAAAAAGTAAATTACATTAGAAACTTCTGAATTTCCAGTAGTAGTGTATAAAACACTTCAGGATATGTTTCTCTTCTAAAATCATTTTAAATGATTGTTCTGATATTTTATTCATTAGCTAATTTGCAAATAAAAACTTGTAAGAAAATAATTAAGACTTAAAAACATGGTTGATGTATCACTTGTCAGGTTCTATTCTAAAAACAGGCATTTCATGTTGAAGTTTTCTATGAAAGAAAGGTAGGGTAAAACTTATTGATGACAAGTTCAGGTGTAAAGACATGTAGGTAAAAGACAGAAGATAAAAGTGTCCTACTGGAGCATGTTTTTACAGGTGATGAAGGATGAAAAGTATAAGTTAAAATGACAGGGTTGTCAAGTCTAGACAGATATTTTATACTATATAGTTAGTATTTATTATTATATATTATGATATTTACCATCATCTTAGATTTATTTCTTTTTTACCTGTCATGTTTCTTTCTTTCTCTCATATTTCATGGGAAAATTGTGAATTGTAGTATTTAATCTTAACCCTTTTTCTAAACCTCTTCTTAAATGAAAGTAAAAGATTTCTGTTTTCCTGTAAATTCTGAGTTGACATTATTATATACTACTTATAATAGCAATGTGTCTTGTAGAGATGTTTATATTGGCTACACCCATTTTGCAATTTTAATGAATCTTTGAAGTACATGTATGTGTTTATGCATTAGATACAAAGATTCTTAAATTCCTCTAAATCTTGTAAATTGTAGACTTTATTATTCTGTTTCTTGTTTCACTTTCTAGTTTTTTGCTCATTTCTTGCCTTCTGTCAAATAAATAAGAAATTAGTCGGGGTATGTGACAATGTTCAGGTCCCACCTTGAATCTTCCTTTCCACTTGTCCGATTTCATTAAACTATAGAAACAGAAATTATTATGCTAGGTCATTATTTCTCGAGCTTGAAGATAAATTAGCTCAGAGAACAAAAAACTCTCTGTTTCATTCATGAAGTTGACATTTTTTAGAATTTATTTTTCATGTCATTGTTATAAATTAACTGTCAAAAAAAATTAAAAACGTGGATTTTGAATTTAACTTCCTGTATATGGAAGAATAAATTGCTATCAGTTTTTTGTTCTAAATAAAGTGAAGTATGTTACAATATTTAGTTAGTTTAAGATGTGTGCTTTTATAAAGAATATAAAATAATTCTCAAGTCATTGTCAATGCTTTGGAAATCCAATATTCATTTTAGTTCATAATCTTGATTCTCATTTACATTTCATTGGCTTTTCATTTATCATATGATTGAGTTTAACATGTTCTATTTTTGCATATGTATGCAATTTATGATAGATATTATGCCAGGGGAGAAGTGCAAAATCACCAACTCTGCTTGCTTTTTCCAACAATCCAGGAATCGTTAATGTTCACAATCTGTAGCACATGACCATTGTGTCATGATTGTCAAAGATCATGAATAATGAGTGAAGGGATAGACTGAAGGTGACAATAGATGAATGATTGACAAGGAACAAGTTAAATTATCAATAAGTACTATGATTAATTATAATATAGGATATCAGAATGGTTATTTGATCAGATACCGGGTCTACTACAGGTTGAAAGGTGAAAGTTATCAAGGTTAGTGTGTACATCAACTAAATTCTCATTATGAAAGGAATTGTCTTCCTTGTCAGAGTTGATTTGTATCCAAGAATTGGTCCAGGGACAGTTATATCAAGAGAGAAATTATAACCTTTTTCTACCATCAAAACAATGGTTGAATTTGGAACTCATCAGATTTTTAGACTACATTTCAACCAGAGTTAAAGTATGCCTATGGATATTTTATTTTCTCTCATTTTGGAAAACAGTCGACCAAGAGTGTTAGGTTACAGTAGGCCTTTGATTCAAAGTATGTCATTGTCATGTATTTGACAATCAGAATATGATGACAGTAGACTTCTGTATGTGATTACATGTAGTAAGGGCAAGTGGTCAGTGTTTGTCCACCACATCTGTCCGGTATTAAATGACAGGATTGATGGTTGATTTCTATTGTTTTGTATCAATCATGGTTGTTCGTGTGATTATTTGAAACATCTTGTTCATTATAGTAGGGAGATATTGTCTGGTATTGGTAGTCATGCTGAGAATGAATACCTTGACCTCTTCACATCAAATAATCATATAATCTCAGGTTTTCTAATCTCTAAAGATACAATCCCACGTAGAAATTATAACTTTGCTGCTCTGTTCAAAATTGTATTTGAGGTTAAGGCCTTTATACACCTTGCCAAAAACAAGATGCTTATAAAAGTGTTTGATACACAAAAAATGAAGCAGAGCTATTGTATATCAAGTATGATGGCAATAGCCATTTGTGATATAAAACTGTTTATTGACACTAGAAGATATGGTAGATGGTATGTAGATCTTTTGGGGCATTCCCATGTTTTGTAGATTTTGAACTTCATGAATACAATATGCAACAGTTAATTTAGAGACATGTATAGGGGTACTTTCCTTTAAATCAAACGAGCATGAAACTTGTTTAAGTGTGGCTATATTTCCGTTACCTGAGAGGATCAAGAGCTTTATTTACCTTTCAACACTAGAGATTGTTCAGAGTGAATGTGATAGTGACAGATTAAGCTTTATTCTAGTCCAGATGGTACTATTTAGAACACTTCTAATATTCTTAGATATCCTCTTCTAATCTCTTTGATCCGTCTAAAAACCATTGTTTTGGGATTTCCAGGTTAACTTTTGCTTGTCTTTTTGCCTTATAGACCGTTGATTATTTTGAATACTGAAAGCATAAAATTTGACTCCACTTTTTGTATTACACTGCAAATTTTAAAAACTTTTTCTAAAATAATGTTGATTTTATTGTGTGGTCATTTTCTAATTTGACAACTCAATCAAATAACAGTTATATTAGTTGTTACATTTTGACATGTGGTACCCTTTTATTGATATACAGTAACCATCAGTTTTAAAACTAATGTTTTGACAACTTAGTACTTTAAAGGTGTAAATGCTATAGATGATATATTTGTTATAACTAATGATAATTGCAGGTGTCAAATTTAGTAGGTGTTAGATCTTTAACACCTCGATTCTACGGATTCTAGCATAACTACATAAAGATACTCTCCTTAACACCTACTTAACATTCACTGTATATAATATAAATTGAATCAGGAACTAATATTTGTGTATGTTTACTATTAAATAGTCAATCATTGTGTGAGATGATGTTATGAGATGTCTATTTTAAATGTTTACATTTAAATAATTGATAATGAGACTGTATTTTGATTTCTTTTGTAGTTTTTTTGTATAATTTGTCTAATTTCTGCCTTTTCTAAAATCCAAAATACAAGAGTTACATTTTTTATATGCCCCCATGGGGAGGGTATATTCACTTCACCCATGTCCGTCCACAGTTGCTTGTTAACACTCTAGAAGACACAATTTTTGACAGATTTTGACGAAACTTGATATGAGTGTTTGTAATCATGGATGAACCCTATTGAAAATCAGAAAAATCAAAAAATAGTATGAGTTATGCCCTTGTTCTTGAAATCCTCCTAAACACTTTAAAATGAATAATTCTTGAAGGATTTTGATGAAACTTAATGTGAGAGTAATTGTTATCACCCAAGGATAAAGTCTTTTGAAAATCAGAAGAATCGAAAAATATTTAGTATGAGTTATTGACTTTATGTTTAGCTCATAAATACTCAAGAAGGCACAATTCTTGATGGATTTTGACAAAACTTGGTTCTTGTAATCACCCATGAATAAATGCTATTGAAAAATAAAAAATTTTAAGTATGAATAATTGCCCTTGTTCTTGAAATAGCATTCAATTTGAAACTGGTAATGTAAGTTAGTAATAACACAAGGATGATCCCTATTGAAAATCAGATAAATCGAAATAATATTTAGTATGAGTTATAGCCCTTGTTCTTGAAAACGTGTTCAATATTTAAGCTCATAAACATTATTGAAGGCACAATTCTCAATGGATTTTGAAGAAACTTTGTGGGAGTGTTTGCAAACACCCAACGATGAATCCTATATAATATCATACAGCGTTTGTTTTTACCTTGGGATGTGCCCTATCAAAAATTGAAAAATATTTAATGAGCAATTTTTACCCTTGTATATTAATTAGCTTGATTAAAATTAGAAAAGTAAGAACTTGACACAATAATTGTTTGCATTCTTATTGATGTATATAGTTTAATTGAAATGAAGACATAAAATGTGGAACTATTCATTGCAATATTATCAGATTTCTTGAAACACTGTCAGTATTTGTTACAACCTGGTAAGTTCTGGTATAAGAATAATGGTCAGCTCTTGTGTAAGGATTATTTTATCTTTGTTGTAAATTTAACCATGTGTGCCCCAGACATTGAAATCTACCTACAATATGTGAAATTCAGTGAAGAATATTTATTGTTAGAATATAAAAATAGTCAAATCTGTCTGTGAATGTTGATCTATTTATTGTTATTATTTATATATTTGATTGTTTTCAATAAACTTAGTTGAGAGTATAGTAAAATGTTGTATTTGTCTAACCTATGATATATCTTCAGGCTGTTGTTATAGCTTATTTCTCTCTAAATATCTGCATGTCTTGTCTCTTAATTTCTTTTTTATCTCCAAGCTTGAAGAGTAAAGGAAATGAGGCAAAAATAGTTGATAATCTCTTATCTTTTGAAATAGTATATTAAATGAATGATTTAGATTTATACTGGCCTTTATGTGAATTTTATTTGTTTATTAAAGAAATATGTAGAGATAAACATTGTTTTGATGTATCTTGTCATGCCCATGAATTGAGAATTATTCTTTGCACCTGATTAACTTTTGAAAATTTGTAAGAAAACTGCCATTATTTCTTTTTTCTAAGAATGATCCAGCTGATCTTGATTGTTCTATTATCATGGTCAATCAATTTGTGATTTTAATTCTCATTTCCCTATACACACAAATTCTTTTCATAAGTCATCAAAAGATTTCACTTTTAGACATTAGATGTAAACTGAATTGATGTCAATTTCATGGGCGCAGATCCTGTAAAAAGTTTTGATATGAATTTGTTTGTCTTAATAGACTATTATTGTTCATGATTGATTTTGTATTTTTCAGAGAATAGAAAAGGTATTGAATGTATTCAATGATGGTTCTAAAAGACAATTACTAACAGAAGAACTATATATACAGTGGGTAAGTATTTAATGTGTACTTCATTGTGTCCAGTCACAGGATGGTTTTTTTTTTACCTGCATTTTATTATCTGAATTGGTATGGTTGAATTTTAGCTTTCCAGGGGCACTATTAGTGAATGTGCAGCTGTCTCTCTGTGCCAACTGTATACATAAGCATTGATATTGTAAAAGACCATATATTACACCCACTATTTTGTTTCTATGGTTACTTTTCACCAGCATTCCTTAAATTTTTTTATTTGTAAATTAGAAAGCAATGTAAAAAGTATGAATTTGAACCTAAGATTATTCCTGGTAATGTTTAGAAAATAATAGAAGACTTTCACCCATTGAAATTTACTGAAAAGCAATTATTTTCTATCTATTTCAAGATATTTTTTGTTTAGAGAAAGATTATGATTATTGATCAATTTAAGACAATAAGATCTATACTATTGTTTTAGTCTATTCACTATGTTTTAAACCTTATCAATATTTTATTCAAACTTCCTTTATATCTTACACAAATAGACCAATGGAGTTCATTAATTTTTTTTTTGAATCTCTTTGAAAAATAATGGAAATTCTTTCCTGCATCAAAATCTGATTTATCTTTGGAGTTGAAGAGATATTCAATAAAGACATGCAGAATGTAAAAGATATTTTTTAGATATTTAATTAATATATACATGTACTCTAAATATGTATTTATTATGCAAGTTAAATATTATTATTTACCAAGTTTTAGGCAAGGTTAATTTTTTTGAAATAAATGCCCATTCTTAGCCTCTTGCCAACAGTTAAGTAATAATTCTTGCATTAATAAGGTAAAGATTTGTAAGATCTTTAATAAAAAATATCATAATTTTGTAATTAATCCTAACACATATGTGCAAGAGAGAGCATAGTGGTACATTTCAGACTGCATCTTTTCCTTCCTTGCGAAATGCATGTCTGAAATGTCATAGTATCTCCAAGTGTCCTAAAATATATTATCTTGATTGTTTATTGTGAAAACGTGAACAGCATATAATCGTTTGATTTTCTGTTTTCCAATATTCTGTATATTGACATTGATGTCTGAGCCTTTTAGTTATCAAAATGAAAATAAAACCGTTCAACTGTGCTAGTCATTTCCTTAAACTGTGTGAAATCAACACAGGAATCTGATTGGAATTAATTGATCTTTCCAATTGCTTTGAGCTCAACTTTCCACTTACTGTATCAGTGCATGTCAAATGAGCCAAGACCTTCCTCATATCAGAGGGCTATTGTTGATTTGGCCAATTTATCAAATTATACTTTGTTTGGGGTCTTCTAATTAAAATAAGCCATACTTGATCATCATATTCTTCACATGGTTAAAATTTTGTTTCAACAGAAATGCTTAATTACCCATTAGAAACACCAAGTACCATGTCTATCCTATACAACTGTGTTTTGCTTTATACTTTATTATAACAAATATGCTGCAAAAATAACCCTTGAAAAAGATTCTGGACCTTTCTAGTAGTGATCTGACTACAACTAGACTAGTGGCTGAAGAGGAACTGAAATGATGAGAAAAGGTTGCTTATAGATACTCGTTTACCCCAACTCAAATTGGAACCTCCATCCAGCATATGTATGACATAACCTGTGGACAGAGTTATAGCCCACTCCCTAGTCAGGAAGAGCATCAAATCATTCTCAATATTTTTAGTCAATGTAAAAGTATATTACTTAAATTTTCAGATTGATATTTTGGTGAATGTTGGTTTATTAAAGAAAGCTGAAGAGACTGGATGTGAGAGTGTAAAGAATTATTGTACCAGTGTAAAATTATGGAAGAAGAGATTGTTATTAGCCGTACAGACTGGAAAACTAGAAGATGATATTCTGAAATTATTTAATTCTGCCAAGAAAGTGGTGAATGAAAAGGTTTGTTTTAATGAAAATTTCATGTATTTGAAGCACCCCAATTATAGCTAAATCATTTCTTATTTCAGACTTAAAGTACATGTATTACAGGTTAGTGTGGTTTAAAAGGTGACAGACAAAAAAATTCATATCAGTGTTCTTAAAAAAATTAACATGGATACTTTACATTTTAAAACTGTTCATATTATCATAAACAAACAGTTATTAGAGGGATTTTTCCCATTACATGAATATTGTCTTTAGTACTATTTGAATGATTATTTGAACTAAATGATTCTGTAGACTTAAGAGTGTTCATGAATTCATTAAGAATGGGCTGTCAATACTTCATACATTAAGAGTTCAATATAAGAGTAATAATTCTTGTAAAATAAATATTCTGTATAATAAAGTGGAAGTAGAAGTAAAAATGATATTGACTATAGAAGGAGTTATTCTATAGACTTTAGGGTTAAAGTACCGGTTCAATGGGCCATAGATCACAATTATTAACAATATCCCTCTTATTTCTCTTCTGTATTAGTGTGTAATAACCTAATCTTATATTACTATATCTCACCCACTATAAAATCCTATTTATCTCTTTCCGCTTGTTTACTTCATCAGATTTATTGTTGCTATGAAGAGAATAATTTGCTGCTCTATTTGATTTGTCAACAGACTAGCATAAATACAACAATCAAATAAACTCATTTCATTGGCTCTAATTGTTACATTCGATTTTCCGAAATAATTATACATTTTGTTATAGATTATAATGAGAAGTTCTGATCTTTTGTGTGAACTTTATTAAGTTTCTACTCTCAGATTATGGAAAGTCATTGTGATAAATAGGTAAAATGGTTACCTTGTTCCCAAGAGACATATTAATAATAATGATTTTTTTTGTGACACTTTTTATGATTATCCAATGAGTCAACATTTGCCAAATGAGTGTCTGATCATTAATTTTTTGCAGACTTTGATTATTTTTTCTTTTGTCATATACCTTTATTCTTCTTTCTATGTGTTTCTTTATATTTTACTGATTTCTGTACTGACATGGATGGTGTGTCATTTAACATCTATGACATCAAATTGCCATAGCTTTTCAGATCATTTTCTCTCTCTGATTGTAGAGAATTTAAGACAACCAATTTCTAATGCCTGGATAGTTTTTCTGACGTTAATGGTTGATTTGTCAAATTCATGGAAGGTTAAAGACTTTTATTATTTACTGACATATTGTGAAAAATTTATTTAGCTGATTGATAAGGCTATTATCAAATTTTGTCTTTAATTTTAAACTGGGCATAGATTTATGTCAATAAGTAAGGAGATTATTGGGTGCTCTTTTTTACTGAAAAATGCCTGTCATAATACAGTTTTTTTTTTATATGATTAAATGACAAATCTGACATTTTGATGTTGACACCTGACTTATTGCCAATAAGTTATTTACTGTTGATATCCCTTTTATTATATTTTCTTATATCTATCTTCTTTCATAAACTCTGCTTGGTTGTATCTATAAAAAATATGAAAATTAATAAAATATTTCATGAGAGGTTTAACTATGTCAATAATGATCTGATTGGTTCAATATTATTGCAGACAGAATAGTTTGACTTTAAATATGACGATAAACAAAGTTCCTTAGACAGTTTTTCACTTCTTTCTCTAAAACATTTTCAGTAATATAAAACATTTTAATTGATATCTTCACAAATAAAATGCAGTGTTTTATATTCATATTTAAGGTTTATACATTCAAACTTCTTCCTATTTTAGATTAGGTATTTTATATCAAAATATTTGATACCATCATATCAAGAGAAATGTTGCAAATAACATTTGGTTTAATTCTTTCTACTTTGGTTCTTGACAAACTTTGACATTCAGTTTGCAACCTTTACTATATTTTTTTAGAACCTATGACAGGGATTGTTAATAATCTTAATATTTTTTATTAAACTGCTTACACCCTTCACTAACTTTAATAAAAACTTTCTTTTGTAAATAGTGAATATATTGATTTAGATTAAGACGTATTCAATGAGGGATTACCGTCAGTACTTAAAACTTGATTGAGACCACCACGATTCATTCACATTTTCAGTCCTTTTACTACATTTACCAATCATTTGTCAGAGCCATAATACTTTTCTTATGTAAATAGGCATTAATAAAGATTCTTCTAAAGGTACTATTTAGTACGTGCTGTATTCAATATATCCACACAATAGTCATAGACACATTTTGGACAGTCATATGATTTAGTACTTAGATCTGTTGGTAGACATGAACTTTAGTAGGGGGTGGATCCAAACTACTAAGTGAACATTTTCATCTCAATAAGGGAAGAATAGATAATTGGGATGTTTCACTTTCAGTAATGTATTATGATCAAGGTTGTAGAAATGGGCGTCTGTCCACAATTGCTCGTAAACACTCTACAAGACACAATTCTTGACAGATTTTGACAAAACTTGGTGTGAGTGTTTGTAATCGCCAAGGATGAACCCTAATGAAAATCAGAAGAATCGAAAAGTATTAAGTATTAGTTATTGCCCTTGTTCTTGAAAATGGGTTCAATTTTTAGCTCGTAAACACTCTAGAAGGGACAATTTTTGACGGATTTTGACAAAACTTGGTGTGAGTGTTCGTAATCACCTACAGATGAACCCTATTGAAAATCAGAAGAATCAAAAAATATTGAGTATGAGTTATTTCCCTTGTTACTGAAAACACGTTCAGTATTTAGGTAGTAAACACTCTTAGAAGGCACAATTTTCGATGAATTTTGACAAATTTTGGCATGAGTGTTTGTTATCACCCAAGGATAAAGCCTATTGAAATTAGAAGAATCGAAAAATATTTAGTAGAATATGGGCAATAACTCATACTCAATATTATTCAGTATCGCCCTAAAGAGTTCAAAAGAAGTCTATGACTGAAGGTTGAATATTTCATACTGGTGATTGTTACTGTACTGCTAAATATTTTTATTCAAAATCAAAGCTGCCAGTGGGCGTATATTACCTTGTCTGGCAAGCTATCTTTTAATTTTATTTCAGTAAATTGATATGGAAATTCTAACCTTTTATATGATCTTTAATACCTTATCATTAGTAATGTTAAGTGAGCACAGGTCAGAAGGTCACAATATATTAAATTGTATTAATTATATTCTACTGTCTAATCATAATTATAGTTATTCTCTTTCTTAATGTATTGAAACTTGCACATGTAATCAGTGATCAGGTTAATTGTCTTAAAATAAATCAACAAGTGTGTAAAATTTGATCATTTGATTGGAAACAGGAATCCCTTTTAATTATAGGTCATTGTGGGTTGCAATGGTCAGAACCTGATGTCTGCTTAAAATAGGCAATCTAAACATTTAACCACAGTTTGGATCCTCACATTGACAATCTGAAATTTGTGCAAACGTTTAAGAGGGATGTGATCCTAAATCAAAAACTTAAAGAAAAAGTTATTAGTGTTAATTTCTACATATAAGCAAATGATTGCCTTTGTCAGTTGCCCACTGTGGTTTGAGGCTCAATTTAATTTTAGTTTTACAATTAGTTTTCATCTTATCCCCAGACTATAAACATAGAGTCAATGTATCTGTCTACTTTCTAAAATTCCTCTCTCTTTCATCTCTAATCTGTAGTAGAAAAGCTTAGAAATAAAATAAAAACATGACATTTCATGAAGAAGTAGAATTTGTCTGATGGTTGAAGAATATTAATTTAATTTATCTCTATAGACATCACCTCATTTTCATAAATCACTGGAAATAAAAATCTATTTAAGTCTTCATCGATTTGGTCAGAATTGGTTACAAAATCTAGTTATGATTGACCAAGTATTTCAGAGAATTGACTTTATTTTGAATTTTTTGTGATTTGATAAACTTACCATTAATAGTAAAGTGTGCTACACATACCTATATAAATATATTCAATGCACAAAACTAGCTCAGAAAGAATGCAAATATGAATTTTTGTATTTCAGAGTGGTAAAATAATATTCAATCTATTTAGGGCTATAATAGAATTGCAAACTAAATAGTGCTTCAATAGGTGAATGATCTGCACAATGAAAGTATTCCGTAGGCAACATATACTCCAATAATTTGTTCCATTAGCAAGTTTGATGAAATAGTGTGAATGATGATACCATGTTACAGTGATAACTTGAACAAGCGAGGTCAGGACAACCAAATAATGATTTCTTTAGAGATTAAACCGATCTGACAAGATTTTTACTATTTCATCATGTTTAACCATAGACAAGAATTCACTTGGTCTATTTGTTACAATCAGAAGAAAACATTCCAGTAAGAATACAGCTTGAAGTTTTCTATTCGTTAGTCACAACTTCTATTGTGGAGCATCAGAGTTGATAAACATTGAGTGATGCTCTACACAATCTTGCTCTTTCTGTCTGACCATGGTGTGTACATGTCATTATTTACTAAATAAATTTTCACATCATCTAATCAAATATAAGCTTGATTCTCTGACTGATTTTTGAGGTTTCTCTCCTTCATGAGTCTAAAGACAATCACAATGTTAAGAATGACTGATTATTGATGTTTAGAGTAAATTTACTTGAGAAAGTTTTACGAGAATTTCACACTTTCTTGTTAATTAAACATAGATTTTATCTTGGCCAATGTACACAGTCAATTTTCTCTTGCATATATGCCTTGAAATAAATTCTTAGTGATAATGCATTGCATTCACCTAAATCGCCCTGAATAATTCTATGGTTTCCTCTTTTTATACAGGCAAGGTAACCACTTGTTATTCATTAAAGTATACATACATGCAATGGTCTTTACAAAGAAATGATGCTTAAAGTTATATTATGTGCAGAAATCAGATGAAAATATACTTGTGTTTCTTTTACTTTTCTCTTCGGCCAACATTGTTAAAAGAGTGTTGCTAAATTCTACATACAAGTGATGGCTATTAAATATAATATTGTATCAGTTGGTATTGTTGATAGTGACTACTGTTGTATGGTACTTTCCGCTATTTACTAAATTACTGCACAGTACATGGTGAACTTCGAGACACAACAAAACAGTTGGTGGACTTGAAGTGTCAACTTTAATATTTCCTTCTTTGTGAGATTAAATCAACATCTTTATTAGACCTGTCCATATAAACCAGGGTATTGGTTACTTAGTTACTATTGTGAACTTTAAAAAGTCACGTTTGAGTAACATTTCTACCTTGTAGAATAATGTATAGAAGACAGTGTCTGATCAAATCATCATGACATAACAAAGAGACTTGTGAACACTCTTATTAAAGATACAGTCCCACTTGAGCAAAGTTGGATCAAAAACTCTTCTCTGATGTAGATACTCTAATAGTATTGAAAATGAAAATAGATATGAGAAACAAATCAAGCATAATTAGTTTTACCCTATTTCTACATCCCAATTAAGTAAAGATGAAGTGATACTTTAAGTTGCTGGAATTAATATAGATCAGTGCATGGACTGTTTTTTTTTTTCAAGTTGTCTACAAGCATATTATAAGCCTATTATTAAAAGTACAGGTTTAAATGTAAATGCTTGTAATCTATAGTAATATTAAGGGGTACCAAGTTATTAATGATCTCCTGTGGTTTAATGATAAGTTTGTGGTAACAAATAAGTGTTATTGTTAAAGTCTCTTGAAGGTTACTGACTGTTGATATTTAAAGAATATTTCTATTTAACTAACTGTGCAATTTTTGTCTTAAACATTCCTTAAACATTTCTAAAGATGAATTCACTTTTAATCTCATTTTAATATTTGTACAAATTCAATTACAAAAAAATTTTCACTAAATCATTTGCTAAAGATAAGTTTATAATCTGAGTTTTCTCACTGAGAAATCTAACCATTAGAGTGATTTTGATTATGTGTTATATTTATGGAAACATTCTGATGGTCTTCTCTACGTGTGGTAACAATATTCACTATAATATTTATAGGTACTGAGTACATTTCTTTCATTGTCATCACAACTAAAAACATAGTCAACAATTTGTAACCTTTAGGTCTTCTAAAATCAACTGACCTTCTCATTTCACCTTGCTGTCTGATTTTATTATCATAAATTAAAGGGACATAATTTTCTGCCTGGATATTAGATACCAGGTTAGGGACTTGTACTCACTTATTGGAGCACTAATGTTTTTATTTTTATACGCCCACATGAAATGGGGGGTGTATATTGCCGTCACCTCATTCCGTCAGTCCGTCCGTCCACTATTGCTCGTAAACACTCTACAAGGCACAATTCTTGACTGATTTCGACGAAACTTGGTATGGTTGTTTGTAATCACTCAAGGATGAACCCTATTGAAAATGAGACGAATCGAAAAATATTTACTATGAGTTATTGCCCTTGTTCTTGAAATGCTCGTAAACACTCTAGAAGGTGCAATTCATGACAGATTTTTATGAAACTTGGTATGAGTGTTCGTAATCACCCAAGGATAAACCCTATCGCAAAACAGAAAAATTGAAAAATATTTAGTATGAGTTTTTGCCCTTGTTCTTGAAGACGCGTTAAAATTTTAGCTTGTAAACACTCTAGAAGGAACAATTCTTGACGGATTTTTACGAAACTTGGCATGAGTGTTTGGTTATCACCCAAGGATAAACCCTATTGAAAATCAGAAGAATCTAAAAAATATTTAGTAGTAATTATTGCCCTTGCTATTGAAAACGCGTTCAATTTTTAGCACGTAATCACTTGGTGTGAATGTTCTTAATCACCCAAGGATGAACCCTATTGAAAATCAGAAGAATTGAAAAATATTTAGTATGAGTTATTGCCCTTGTTCTTGAAACCGCTTTCAAATTTAGCTCTTAAACACTAAAAGGCATGATTCTTTCTGGATTTTGACCAGAAAAAAAACCTTGTTTTATTATTCAGTCCTGAAGATTGAATATTTGCCTTCTAGAGTTTTCACAAGCTAAAGATTAAACATGTTTTCAAGAACTAGGGCAATAACTCATACTTAATATTATTCAGTATCGCCCTAAATAGTTCAAAAGAAGTGTATGACTGAAGGTTGAATATTTCATACTGGTGATTGTTACTGTACTGCTAAATATTTATGTTCAAAATCAAAGCTGCCAGTGGGCGTATATTACCTTGCCTGGCAAGCTATCTTAGAATGTAAATTCATTTCCTTCATGATCCCACTTTAGATATCATTTCTCATTTTACAGCTCCAAACCATCTCAAAGATGATATAGGTAGGTATAGGAGTATGATCCAAGATCTATTTTCAGACTTGTATTTTCATTGTTTTCTTATATTTACATTGATCTGTTATTCCTATTGTAAAGAAACGTACAAGTTTTACCCTACATGATCTATGAATAGAAGTAAAATGGGTGGCTTCAATTTGAACAGTGCAATTTAGACTTGTTTTATTGAAAGACAAGATCATTGTATTTTTTAAAATGTTTTATGTATCTGGAATTTTATGTAAATGTGTGTTTTTCTAGGTGTATATTGTTAAGCCTATTTTGATATGACATTTTTCAAGCTAGAGAATAAATGCATTAATAGACATTTGAAGTGTAATTTTGTGTACTAAACAGTATTTTATGTTGTATTGGCAATAGACTTTAAAAATTCATTAGTTACTGAATTAGTTTGAATTTAAATGTGAAATACTAATTCGATTTGAAAAAAAAACATTCTGATTGAAAAACATTCACTGCTAGCGAGGACTGATTGAAAATTGTGTACAAAAATCCAATCTAGCCATTATTTTAAATTTTAATGTCCACCCAATTTAATGTAATTCACTTTAAAAGGAAAGTTGAATGGAAGGATATAGGAAAGCCAGTCTCAAAGGTTAATTAAAGCTTAGGAGCAGGTGTTTGTTGATATGATATCATGATTATACTATAGTTATTTGTTACTGATATTTCTTATGTAATGTATGACTGTTATTGTATATTATGACAGATGGCAGTCTAATATCAAGGGGATTTCTCTATTATCATCAATAATGATAGTTAGTTATTAATATCATAACCATAATGATAACTGTATAATATTTATTATGTAAGTATTGAAACTAGTCATAGGTCTTAAGGTTGTGCTGATATGTTTATCATTTCAAGATATGAGTCATTTCCCTTAAATTGACTTGCAGATAGCCTGATCAAATCAGATCTTGGGTGTTTCACATGCTTGACATATAACATGAATCTCATATTATTTTGAATGAAGTATCAAGGTTTATGAGCTCTCGCAGGAATGAAAGTTACAAATGAAGTTTTGCTTTTATCAGACATATTATCTCTTTACATGCCCTTCTTGGTTCAGAAATATTTTATGAGTGAATTTCTATTAGATGTATTGAATTATAAATTCCAATCTAGAAATTCTGTGATAACTTTTTAAAATCTGAATAGAATATTGGAGAGTGTCTGTGTGGAAAGATAAAAGTAAGTAGATAATAAACTATGTAAGTAATAAAGGACTCAGTCAGTGAAATACCAGAATAGTTTATATGGTATTTTAAACCATGATGTAATAATATAGAAATTGAAAGACTAGTTTATTATGATCGACTATGTTATTTATTTATCTTCAAGACAGGAGAATCACCTCATCAGAATTCATCTCACATGGTCCATTACTTGCATATACCAACTGATATCAGTTTTTTTTTTTGGGGAATAAATTCTAACAGATTGATCAACCGCCATTCATAATCCTTCAGGTTTATGTTGTTCCTCATTTTTGCCTTTTTAAAAAAAGCCCAGAAGCAGTTTTAAATCAACCAAACTTTGCCATGTTTCCTCTCGTATTATTCTATTGATTTTTTTCATAGACAGAAAATATTAGATAGGCTCATTGTCAAAATATTCATAGATTTTGAAAGAAGCTATGACTTCTTGAATTGCTAGACAAACTAGAATGGGACACTCAAATCAAATTTTCCATATTTCCATAACTTCTCCTTCTCCCACCTTATTCTCTTGTTGATTCTGTGGTTCATTAAGTTTGTTAGTAATTAATCCAGCAGGTAATATGATTAATAATTGATAAACTAGTCTAGCCACAGGCACCAATATCTCTAGTTAAAACAGAGATATTGAATAGAAAAAAAAACACCTACAGTACAAAAACTATTTGAATTTCTGTGGAAGAGAATATAGCGGATGTTTTATTATAGAAATATCAAGGAACATCATTATGTATTTATGATGTATGTCTAAATGCTAACTTTAATCTTAAATCATGAATATTTCAACCTTAGGAATTTTGTATAATTGAAATCAGTCTTTGCTGAATTAGTCTGATGTTCTTTTTGTGATTGAGAAAAATGTTTTGATGTTACATTAAATTCAGAATACCTATCTTTATCTACAGAATACATGGTTATTGATTTTCAAGAAACAAATGACAGTAAATTATTGCTATGATGATTCGTAAGCATGTGCATTAATGTTAATGAAAATCATTATAATAAATAGCAGATTTGACATGTCATAGAATTTCATGAACATTGTCCAGCTCATTTCAATGAGGTACCAGAAACAGTGGGAACAGACTTAGTATTGATGTCATTTCTATTCCCACTGGTCATATTGAAATGTGTGTATTACAGAAGCTGGTAAACGCTAAATATAATCTATTATGGCAGGTAATCTGACAGCTGATTGATTGACACCGATCATATTACCTGGTGACTCTCGTCATACTTCCTCCTTGCTATTGTTTAACACCTTGGTTAATTTGATTATATTAATTAGAGTTAAAATGGTTATTTCTGTTAATTATTGATAATTTTAATTACTCTATCAATCTTTTTGAATTTAGGTGCCTCAGTTTTCAGCACGACTTTCAGTTTCTGTGTTAAATATTTTATGTTCACAAAGTGTTGCTGTTATAGAAACTATTCATCTGTATCATTTTATGTGAGACATTAAACCTTAAGGCAACAACTTTAAGTTCTTACCTTTTTATGGAATGGCATGAGAGATAATTCTAGAATACTAATAGTATTAAGATGAACAGTAGAATGTACATGATAAATACCAGTGATATTTCTATTGAAATGTTATGTTGACAATAGATATTCTAGTCTATGGAATCGGATTGTTATGTTCTAAACCTCTTTTGATCAAATCAGATCAGTTTTCATAGAGATATGAGATAAACCTATTAATATTGCATGATAAATATTATAATACAACAAGTCATGTACAATCAGAAAAACTCTGTGGTACACTATTATTAGATTATTGTGATAAAAACAAAAATATACTGAATAACATTGTCACATACTGAATCAAAATCTCCACAAATATAAGATAGACCTGGTGATAGGCTATTGTTAGATCTTGAAATTCCTTAATCATAAGAGTTTTTTTTTCCTTGCAATAATGATTCTTGGCATCTTATTGGGGTATTGAATAATTGCATAATTCAGAATATGAATTGATTTACATTTTCTTTTACTTTCAATGTCTAATTTTTAATTAATAATTATGTACTATGATTGGTACTTGTCTGGAAATAAGATTAATTTGTAGGAGAGAGGATTGTGACAAACTGAAAATGAAGCTAATATTACTATGTCATATCTATTTCTGGACAGCTTCAGGTTGGTAAAATGAGTAAATAAAGTTTAATAACATCATGGAAGGCTTTAGGGGTTAATTATTAGTCACAATACAGCTATTGTGCTATGGGCACTTTAATGTGGATACATGTATTTAAAGGAATACTACTTCTAAGCATAACCCAAAAATATTTAAGTTTATTAACATGGCTAAAATAAGTCTTTATTCATCACTGGACTTATCTGGTGTCAAACTTTAAATTTATGTTTATTGTAAGAGGAAGTTCTCCCTTTAATGTGAACATTTCTTCCAACCACAATGCATTTTACAGTTTTTATGTATAATGTATATGCTGAGATCTACTTTGTCATATCCTGTATTTGTATATATTTTACATGAATCCTGTTGTATTGTAAATCTAATTAAAACAAGCCTTTCAGGATTTCTGTTTTCAGGACAAGATCTAGACAGGATCCAGACATTGTGTTTTAAGCATGATTTTAGCTGTAAGGTATATTATATTAGTAACTAATATTAACACAAATAGTAATACATTCAGTTAGATTCTAAAGAATCTTAGGGCACTTTTTAATGATGTACTGTAATTAGTACTATATTTCTCATAGTGAAAATTTGCTATTAGCTAGTCCTCTGAACAATTTCCAGTTGCATAGTAATGCCCATTTCAAAACACTCTAGATTCAACAAATTTAACTTTTTGGGGACCCTGATGGGCTATGCTGTAGGCTCTGACTGACTGATGATGTATGAGCTATTACTAATATTGCCAGAAGATAAAATATTTTTGTGTTACTGTGTTTGCAATAAAAAATTAAATTTTGATTTTGACTGTACTGACTACCCAAACTGTAGGGTAGATACACTGACAAATATGTACATACAGTATAAATTGTTTTACAGAACCTAGATTATGCTATAGTAATCAGTACTTTTTTAGATTGGTACAAATCATAAGGAATGACTAGAAATATAAATAAACTGTTCAGATCTTCAATTTGTATTCATACTATGTCAGGGATATTTCAAATGTGATTTTGTGCAGTGTTATTTTCAAACTTTGTTTGCACTCTGAATGTGCTCAAGAATTCAGAAAGGTGTTTAAAGGATGTAAAACTTATTGCATTTTCACGTTGTAAGGCTAAGCTTTAAGCCATGCTCGCATATGACTGTCATAATGACGTATGTTATTACTATTCATATAGCTAGAAGATAAAAGGATATAGATGGTAATGATATGTCATATAAACTGATCAGTATTGTCAATAATCTCTAAGATTTAATCAGTGTTATTTAAAACTTTATGATTTCAAGTGTCAATCATCCTATATCAGACTGCCACAATCTGCCCTAGAACCATGTGACTCAACGTATTTTGTTATTGTGATATTTTTAAATCGTGATTATTTATAATTAACTATGATGAACGATAAGGAAGAAATGATAAGAATGTGATTGATCTTTGATTTTAATCAATATTTATTTCATGATGGACTGTTCCAATGAATAATATTACTAATTATTTCAGTTTTATACCCCCATCAATAAATATGAATTTCATTGTCTGTCCATTTAAATCTTGGTATAGTTTTGTTTCTTCAGACAAATTACCAGGCTTTTGATTGCAATTAAGAATACCATTTTTCTTTATTTTACTTTCATCCTCATCATTCTCATTAATTGATTTATTTAAAGTTTTGATTTGTGGAGTAATATCATGAGCAACTATCATTTTTGGCCTTAAAATGTGCTATGAGATGTTTACTGATTGAAGTCCCAGATCATTAGACGCCTATGATATTTAAAACAGGCAACAAGACAGGTTTGACTTATTCAATTAATAATTGATATTAATATGGTGCAGAATTGGCACAAATATGATAATAACAACAGACTTTATTTGGTATTTATGTCTGTTTTATTAGACTTTTTATAAATACCCCAACTAAGTTTTTACATTTGTACATTTCAGGAAAGTTGGCCATTGTGGGAAATAATTTTAGATTTTTTATCCAGCAATAATTCACCAAAACTAGTCAAGATGTTAGAGGTAACTACGACTTACAATAGTCTTCTACAAACATTCACTTTGAGTTAGTTTGAAGATTGTACATGCTGTATGAGATAGGGGTATTGATGGACCTAGTTATTGTCAGTGAGGTAATATTTTTCTGTTTAATACCTATTACAGAAAGGAAGTACAAGACAGAGAGAAATCAGTATACCAATTAAAGACTTCTACATCCAATGGATTGGACTAACATCTGGAATACAAGAGGTTAGACAGCTATATCATAGGTAAGGATTTGGAATAGATTTTATTTATATTACCTATTATATTTATAGTTTAAGATATGAGAAGGTAAAATTCCTTTTGATCAGATTTAAATAGTGATGTATATCTTTATTTTGTAGATTACAGCAACTGAAACCATTATCATTACAATTTTATAAAACATACCTTGATTTAGAAGAAACACAGGTATGATATTGAGTTTTTATCTTGTCATCTTTATTAACCTGATAATGTTAAGACATGTTGGATATAATAACCCTGTTCATTGATATAGGCCTAACTGATAATTATCTTCTTATGGAATAGTGACTTATCTTCTATCAGTGGCCTTATCTTGAAATGAATTTGATGGGTAATACCTTCTTAAAGGAGTCAAATAGATATATAATGTCAAAAATAAAACCCAAAGTCATTTATTGACCTCAAATGGTAAGAAAGTTATCATTAACCTAATCTGATTTATCATTTATGTTAATGACTGATTGAAAGTGTTATTTTAGACTAGAACAAAAGTAATTGTGGATGTCCTAGATAATTAATGTTGATGCCTGATCAGTTATTGCTAGTTATTGTCTGCCAGTTCCTGTTTCCTTACTTCTGATATTGTCTGACAGCTTTAAACCTTGTATAAATGTGCACTGGAGAAAATGTTAACAGACAAGTCTAGAGTTTGATTGTGTTTTTCACCTAATTATATTGTGCTGTAAAAGAATGATGGTCAAACTTAGAACATCTGATTACACGGAATGAGTTATGGAGATGAATTAAACTAGAAGAATTGTCTGGAATCAATAGAATCAAGCGCCTGGTTAATCAGTCATTAAAGACTTAATCAATAAGTCTCAGGAAATATGATTTCTGCCTGTTGATCATTCAATCACCTGTAAATTGACTTGTGACTCAGACGACCAGTCTTAATGAGCAGTATTGTTTTATTCAATCAGCCATTAAAGTGGTTATAAAGCCATAACTTTCTCTGGTGATTTCTTTACCAATAATTCTCTTGTCATTATGATTCTATTCTATTCTTCATGCCTCATAAATTCCAATAAGACATCAAATCATAGATCTTAATGTTTGAAAGTTCTATTCTATATTTTATAGCAATATTTCATACATGATGATTCCCTAATAAATCTTGTTTATATCTTTTGACACATGTATGAGTGAATTTTGCAAGAAACATCAAAATGTCACTGATGTATCGCTATAATAATTGAAATATCTATTGAATATAGATAGCAACTTTTTCCTGATAGTTTAGTTTATATCTTAAAAGTTTCTGTATATATTAAGAATTTGTCAATATTATTAGCTACCTAACTAGCTGCATGATAGATCTTAGTATAGTATCTTGTCTAAAACTAGATCTTAATATGAATTTTTAATAGTTAAAGAAAATTAAAGGGTAAATTTTTTTTTTAAATTATACTACAAATCAGGCATAGATTCTGGGTATTCCAGTTTTCACATGATTTTTTAAAAATGGATGGATGTTCCAACAAATGAATTTGATAAGTAAACAATGCAAACAAATTCTTTGAGTTATAGCCAAACTTTATTTGGGTGTATTTTTGTTGCTGGTATCTATTGATTAAGGTTTTTACTAAGTTGTTATTAAGTACCTGTAACATAAACATAAAAAAAAGATTATTATATCAGTGGAATTTCTAGGAAACATCTGGTCAGGGGCCACAAAATTTTCTAGGTCACATACCATTCTCTTACTATGTAAAATGATAAGAAATTTGAAAGTAGTGTGTTTGTCAGGTGTATATCAATTAAGATCTAGTTTGATCAAGTTCTAAGGCCTTCAGAGTAATAATGACTATTAGTCACAAAGCTTGAGGAAATCTGTGTTTATGAAGATCAAATGAATAATTAAATTATTCTGACTGAAATATGTGTGTGATTAAACTATTCATTACACATAGCTTTAAGCCATAATTTCTAGTCAATTGTTCAACATGAGATATATCAGTCTGAATATCTTACTTATTATTGTTTATCCTATTTACCACTAATTGGGAAAAAGCGTCAATTTATAATCATACAGCTTTTATAACCCACCAACACTAATGATGTAGTTTAAATTGTCATATCTGTGTAGTTAGGATACCATTTGTCCTGTCCCCCTGAACTGTTGGCTTTTGGCACAATTTTTTCTGTGAAATTCTGACAATTTTGTATATAATGTATTGAGAAGATTAGTTCACAGGCTACATAGGTTAGATGTAATTTTTTATTTTTTTATTTTGAATTAAGGATTGAATGTAGATTTTCTTTCGTTTATTGGTTGATGAAGCAGAATTTTCATGTGATAAATTGATTGAAAAGCACATGCAGTGAGGATTGAAATGGAAATTGACCAGTAATGGCATGAGCCTGCACTCTTTGATTGCCAACTGGACATTTTTATACGCCCACATGAGATGGGGGGCGTATATTGCCGTCACCCACGTCCATCCGTCCGTCCACAATTGCTCGTAAACACTCTACAAGACACAATTCTTGACAAAACTTGGTATTAGTGTTCATAATCACCCAAGGATGAACCTTATTGAAAATCAGAAGAATTGAAAAATATTTAGTATGAGTTATTGCCCTTGATCTTGAAAACGCGTTCAATTTTTAGCTTGTAAACACTCTAGTAGGCACAATTCTTGACGGAGTTTGACGAAACTTGGTGTGAGTGTTCGTAATCACCTAAGGATGAACCCTATTGAAAATCAGAAGAATCAAAAATGAGTTATTTCCCTTGTTACTGAAAATGCGTTCAATATTTAGGTCGTAAACACTCTTAAAAGGCACAATTTTCGATGAATTTTGATAAATTTAAAAATATGATAAAATGTAAAATATACATTATAAAATAATGTATGATAATTAAAAGATGGTGTAAATAAATAACAAAGTTGACTACATGATTCTTGATGAAAAAAGATTCAGCACAGTACAGCAAATATTTCTTCAAATTATTTATTTGTCATATAACAGTAAATATGAACTATGATATATTAATATTGGTAGAGTGATGACATGGTAATTAAATAGTAAGTTGACTATACAACACATGAACTTCTATTGAACTAATTACCTGTACCTAATTATCTGGCTTTATTTAACTTTTTAAATTAATCTCGATCCACTTGGTCAACAATATTAATTCATAAATATCAAAACTTGAATGGTTTATAATACAGTATGGCAGATGTCACAAGCCTTGAAAATGGATGATATATGATCAATTTCATAGTAAATTTTCAAATGAAAATATATATTCAAGATAAGGGAATTAGAATTATTGTTAATCCAGTAAGATTATTAAACAGAAATTGGAGATTCATAAATAATGATAATAAATAATAATGATTGATAAACTCAATAACACTGGCCTTGAAGAAGTTTGAAACCTGCTTCACCCTTCAAAATATTGAATTCTCTTAAAAGTTAAAATATTATGAGATCTGTTAAAATGGTTAATGGAATGACATTTATAAAGTATTCCTGAAAAACTTGTGGAAAGAGATAATGTAGGCTATATATCAAATTATTGAAATTAAGTCAACTTTTGATGTACAAAATGCCAATCTACAAATGACCTAATAATCTCTTGATGCTTTTAATATACAAAATAAAGTCTAAATAGCATGTGTCATTTTTAATGGATAAGTAGATTCTTATCGAGGGGACATAACCACAATTTAGTTATCAGACCCAAGTTAAATATAGCATATTAGAAGTCACAAGTCATAGATAAATAAGTCAATTTTATAAATAGATATTTCTAGAATATTTATTGCTTTGAATATTTCAATGTCCAAGGGCCAGAATAAATATTCTAGAAGTATCTATCAAGAAAATTGTATTATTTATGTAGTTAAATACATTCAAAGGTCTGTAAACTAGGTATGATATATATTTTGATTCATCTATAAGTCAAATTATCTGGCTGACCTTTCTGAGGTATGATATTATCACCTATAGTATGTGCTGATTAAAAACAAGTTTTCTTGGCAGGTTTTACCAAATGATTGGTAGAAATACCAAATTTACATTATAGTTGACAAATTTATAGAAAATGTATAAAAAGATGAATTGGGAGAGGAAACAAGAATTTTAAGAGTTCTATAAAAGACTATTGTCTATGAGTAAAACAGATTATAAATGATGTTTAATTAAATACTATGTGTAGAAAAGAGTTATTGATTAGAATTGATTAGTCAGTGAAAGTTATTAGTAACCAATGATTCATTATTGTTGAATTAAGTCTATTATTCCATTCTTTGCGATAGAAAATATTGTGTGGGGTGTTTCTATACTATAATAATAGTGATTCAGACTACAGAAAGCTCTACAAGACTTTATTCCATTTATTTAGATCATTCTTTGTGATAGAAAATATTGTGTGGAGTGTTTCTGTTCAGTACTGGTGATTCAGACTACAGAGGGCTCTGTATTATTCTGTTTATTCCAAAACTACATGCTTTTACTCTTCACGAGTATGTATTATTTCTGTTCATGTGAGAAAAATTTTATTGAAACTTCTTTTGGAAACTGATGAAACGTAGTTGTCGTCAATATCAAGAAACTTCAAAAAGGCTGGTATTTCTCAGACAAGTATGCAGATATTCAAGTTACAATCTTAATGATATCCAGATAGTGAATCTACCAGCAGATAAATAAATAATCTCTAACACTTTTTTAGCACAAAATTTCAAGCAAAATATGTTTTGGACTAATCTAGTCTGAATCAATAGATAATTTCACTAGATCTACAATGTCTGAATTTCTAGTTGCACAACAATCCCCAAATAAATTTGAAAATACATTTTTGTTTCATTCAAAGAACACCACTCCAAATCAAAATCTTTTGCAAATAGTTATCATTCTAAATGTATTTCAGAGTATTAAGAAGGTTAAGTTTATCAGACAAGGTTATGAAGATGCTGTCAATGAATATGGAGGTTTAAATCCTGGTGAGTTTATTCTTTTGAACATATAACATACAGGAAACTATTTAGTAGATGTGATTTTATTATTTCTGTTGACCTGTATTTCCAGCAATTAAAAACAAATTAATGATGTATTTAGCCTGCATGGAAATAGATTGCATTCCTATAATGATTATCCAAAAGTATTAGTGGCCTGAACTATATTGTTTTATACTGATAAAAGTTGCCATGTAAAAATGTTTTATAATTGCCATGCCTTTCTTACTAAAAAATGTATCATTATCCAATTTCATACACCAAACAAAGATCGTGCTTTAATTTATTTCATTTTACCTACAGATTTATGGCTGGACTATATCAGGTTTGAAAGTACCCATGGTAAACCAGAAAATGCTGGGGTCTTATATTACAGAGCTATTAAAAACCTCACAGGAGATCAAAATACTGATTTTATTTCAAAACATACTCTTATACAAACAGGGCATTTACATACAGAATCGTGATGTTTATCTAACAGAGAGAATTTTACTAACAGAGAATTATACTAGAATTGCTACTTGTAAGCATGAAATGTACTTTTAGATTAAACACTACATCCATCTATTATTTCTATTTGTCTGCAGTTGCATTGATTTGGATTTTGAGGATGAAACCCATTAGTCACCTACAATTTAGAACATATCCTCAATCTTATAGTTTATCTAAACTTGAAAGTTTAAAAGAAGAACCATGTGATTGGTTGGTGGTATATAATGAAAAACATTTCGTTGTAGTTTGGACTGAAACTATAATATGATGATTATTTCCCTTCCACTGAATACAGATACTACTAATTCAGTACTGAATGTTTATCCAAAGAAACCAATACTGAAATCTTTCATTCATTCTTGTTTAAGCTCCAAAAAGTATACATCTGCGTCTATGAATGAATGGAATCTTGCTTATTCAATTCACAATATAGTTTTGACTGTTTTACAGTCTATTCTTGAGTGTTCTTTTCAAAATGTATTATCGGTTCAAGTTTTATCTGTTCAAATTAGAATGAATACTTGACTTTCTAATCTAAAATCTTTTCGGATCAAAATATAGTTTTGACTGTTCTTTTTCAGAATGTATTGTCTGTTCAATGCTCTTTTCAGAATGTATACTGAAGAGATAAAGAAACGTAGCATTGTTAGATTATTTGGACAAAGTAGTGCACGATCAAAATTGTTATTTTTCTTTATAAGTATGATTTTTAGAATTTAAAAAATCCAATTGAAGACATTCAACTGATAATATAGGAGTTGTGAACCTTGGGAACTGTCAGATGTCCGTGGGCGCAAGGAGCAAGTTGTAAGTGATGCGGGGGGTGGGGGGGGGGGGATCGAAATGCACGTGGAACCGTACCAGAGTTCCTTAAAAAAACGAACTGACGCCTACTGAGAATTCAGTTGCTGTGAAGACATCGAGCTCATGGCTAGTCTAACCTCCCAACAACGTGAACAAGCCATCGGACGATTAAATACCGGACCACACGCTCAAGTCATTGTCAATGCATTTAACTGTAGTGTACGAACCATTGAGAGACTTCGTATTCGTTACAACACCACCAACAGCACTGATGACCGTCCACGCTGTGATCGTCCCCGAATCACTACACCAATATCCTGCAGCAACATCTGCATGACAGATTCACCTCAGCGGCACAGACAGCTTGTCAGACCATTGGCCACTATCAGTAACCCCCATCCATTGGCGGCCTTAGCAGTGGAGGATCCACGTGTTTCCAGATGAAAGTCGGTACTGCATTTCCACCGCACTGTCTTCCAGAATATCGGAGTCACAGTCGCCACCATCAACCCACGTTGTACCGCATTTTGCATGACGTCGAAACCAGACCTTCCAGCATGATAACGACCGTCCACACACTACCATAGCCACCAGAACCTTCCTCTAACAGCATAACATTAGAGTGATGCCGTGGGCCTTACTCAGCCCGGACCTAAACCCAATAGAACACTTGTGGGATGACATCCAAAGACGATTAAAACAAAACCAACCGCATCCAAGAAATGCAGCAGAACTCAGTGCAGCTTTCCTAAGAGTCTGGGCGCAGATTCCAATGACATATGTAAATCATTTGTACCAGAAGATGCCGGGCCGTTATCAACGCACAAGATACTGACTATCAGCCTCCATCTGTAAAGATCACGTGATCAGAACATTGATTTCTTAGCAATAACTTGAATAATGTTCTTTCCAGAATGTTGTCGATTTTTAGTAAACAAATTTCGTCAGTTCAAATTTTTTGTATGTTCAATATTGAAGTTTTGATTGCCCAGTCATATATATTGCAATTATATGTTAATTTTTATCTGGATGATGTGTACAGTATTATGTCTGGTCATTACAGAATAAGAGAGTAGAATTTATGTTTAAATATTCACTGTTTTCTTTTTTTATTACATTAAAAAAGTTTAGAAGTTATAAAACGAATTTGTATTACCTTTTTGTTAAACGCAATGTACTGTGTGTTCTTGATACTAAGACCGATCGTCAGCACATTATTGGTATCATTTTGGAGAGAGGAAAAGTTAATCATAGATATCAGCTTTATGTGCAACAAGTATTCGTTAAAATTATAATGAGACCGATTTTTCTAGAGTAATTTGATTACCAGTAATGTTTCGGTAAATTGAATGAAAGAATTGTAGATTATGTGAAGATTACGGTAGGAATTCAAGAGAGTTGTAAATTGAGAATAATATAAACTTTGGTTTTCTCTTGATAAACTCAGCCTTCAACACTTCCTCACAGTTTTTAAATTACGTCACAACAGGTTAATATTTAACCAGTGTTGAAGGATAATATTAAAAAAAGGTTTTATGGTCTGCAATATATATCTATTCATTCATATATTTGTTACCCGGTACGTGCTGAGTTGAAGACGTAAGACTTGATCTTTCACCCCACCAATTTCTAATGATGGTGATAACATCTTGAAAATACGCAACAGCGTAAATTTGTATCATTGAGAATGATAAAGTAGATATGACTTCTCATCACATTATATTATATAATTTCAAACCGTAAGGTGTGACTGGAATACACATTTAAAGATCCATTATTCTAAGAAACTATGGAAAATAAACTCGAAGTTTGGACACGTTTCTGAGTACGAAGATGATGTCATCAAATGTATTGATCCCCCAGTCTTTCCAATAGATGATATGATACAATTTCACCTCTCCTCCCTAAATGAACAAAATCAAAATGTGTGCCTCTTCTTCCTCAGTAAGAATAGAGTATCAGTGTCACTACATGCAATTCCTCTACCAATCCGCCCAATGTATGAAATAGTGTCACTACATATTGTGTTAGCAACAGCTTCTACTCTCTCAGCCTGCTCACTACGTGACATACTTTGTCACCAACAGCTTCTACTCTCTCAGCCTGCTCACTACGTGACATACTTTCGTCACCAACAGCTTCTACTCTCTCAGTCTGTTAACTACGTGAAATAGTGTGTCACCAACAACTTCTACTATCTTAGCTTGCCCACTGCGTGACATACCGTGTCACAAACAGCTTCTACTCTCTGTCTGCCCAAAACATGGAATATTGTGTCATGAATAGCTTCTACTCTCTCTTCTGTCTTCCCAATACATATACCTGGAATATTTTATCTCCAACCGCTTTAACTATTTGCCCAATACGCGATAAACAGCTTCTCTCTCAGTCTGCCAATTATCTGCAAAAGTCATTGATTGCTTACATGTTATTTTTCGAAAAGATACGGTACCTGAAATCATTTCTAACTTAGGTATGTAAGGTTCTTGTAATAGAATTACCTTACCATTATATTTCAACAACAATATTTTCAGTCTGAATTTCTATAAACAGCATTAGATACACTATTTTGGCAATTTATTCAAAGGAAACCCCTTTAAAATAGGTATTTGAACTAAATTTATCAACAAATAATTATTCGGCGCTTAAACATTTTGATTTACGTGTCTGAAAACAGGTAGGGTGGAAAGTAAGAGCTCTGAAGTGAAAATACCAAGAATAAAGACGCCATGTAAGACAGATAGGAACATATCTATATTCTACACACGTTTTACTAGACATCAATATTTCATTCATCTTTATATACCAGACTAGAGATTGGTCGAGCCTAAAATATATTAACACTTGTAAATACTTGCAAATAGTTTATCTGCCTTCTTAAGATCATCTTCACAATGTTAGAACTCGCAGATTGTTAAGAATCTGTCTGTTGAGGGCTCCAATTGCCTGTATTGCTAGCGTACAATCCAATCAATTGCTGCATTTACAAACTTCCGTGATAAAAAGAAGGGGCCCAATGATGTCAAGGTATTAGACGCAGTTTGTAATAGCTTAACGTTGGGTAAATGGTTTAAGAGTCGTCTTGTCGTACACGTCAGTAGGGTGTGTGTTTACCCTCTGAACATGGATTAAAGCCCCACAGAATGACAACGTCGAATGCAGTTGCGAGCTAGAAAGTAACGTCAATTATTTGCGAAAACTTAAATTAAAGCTAATCCCTGATCTACCTCAGATTTAACAGAATAACGATTTATAGGACGACTCGGGGACCCACCTGGTTCTTGGGTAAATCCGCTTGCTATTCTTGATCTGCGAACTGAGTAAGTCATTTCTCATTCAATGTAGGTTGTAAATTTATACTTGAGATGTGAATATGACTACTCAGCACAATACAGAGACTTGATCTAGGTTTTAATTAGTATATAATCATTGAATTTCATAATATAAAATATAAATAATATGATACCTAATGCATTTAGGTCTATATTTTATCATTTTATTGTTGCTTTATCGCCTTTTCGACATTTGGTTTTGTGTATTCGTCATTCTTTTACATTTAATGTTTTATTTGTCGCCAGAAAACAATCATGCAATTCAATTAAATACAACACTTACAGCATATACTTTTTGCAAAATTTTTTTCACTTGCTTGGTTTAAAATTCCTTTTTGGGTGTTACTTTGATCAACAATCTGATAACAGGGTATTGTACATCTTTATAAATTGTCTCCAATTGTGATTTTGCCATATTGTCTTGTCACTGAATAATTAGATAACGCCTACACGTTAGTTTCAAGTTGTTTTAATTATTAACTTCGCCAAACCATTGAGTATGAGAAATGCACCAGGTACTAATCCAAACAGTACAAACCGTTGAGATCATGTCATGCAATTAGACAATTAATGGAAATAACCGAACTTAAACTATCTTGGAATCAAAACTCCAAATAAACAATGGCTGAATGGATGGAAATAGTTTAAGGACCTTATGCAAATGACCTAAAATTGCATCTTTTCCACTTTTATATCATATAGAATTTCAAACAGACAATGCTATAAAGTGAAACACATCGGACAGATGACAATAAACATAATGTGGAAATGTATCAAAAAGTTTTCTACCCCACGGATTTTAAAGCACTGTCTGGTACAATGGAACCCCCATGGAAGTCGAGACAACAGTTGTTAGCTGTCTTGATGTCCTTATACCTTCATATATATTATCTTCATCAGGCATCTAAATAGTAAAACCTTTAATTGCTTACTTCAGTCATAAACCTGTCAAATAATTATATTGGACCAGTTTTTACATACAATATGATCTGTATATTGTAAAATAATATTGAAAATATCAAAACTTAACACCAAGTCATCGTTTATAGTGTTATATGCCATATTTCCCCAGCTTTAAATGTCAAATACGATATAGTTGAATTACCCCCAAAAGTGGATGTTGATATTCAATGTTAACTAACAAAACTTCACCAACGCAAATATACTCTAAATGCTTTAATGTTCTACCAAAGCTTATATTAAAATTTACTTGGTGATAAATCGTCAAAATTCATATACCTGGACAGATTTTCGTTTGTCCACAATGCTCACTGGCTTCGATAAAAAATTGTAATATTTTAATCCAGACTCAGAACATTGTGTAGAAGGGACATTTGTCATTTTACATTGACCGAAACATACCTTATATACGATGCATGTTTGAAGAAAAGCATTATTTTACCTATAAGAGGTTTATCTTACTAACTACATCAGATAGACATCTTACTGTCTCTTACTATAAGTAATTGTGGTTTTGTCTCATTTCATGTTTTAATTGCATGACGGAGTTAGTCAGTGAACATTTAAATGTGGTATTTCTTTAATAGTACATTATAATATCGTATTGGATTAAAATGTGGCTTGCAGTCAGAAAATGGTCGTATTTGCTGGGATAAAATCAAGTATGTATTTATTTATACTTAAATTTTCTTTTCCCAGATGGTCTACAGTTCAGCCTGTCTACCATTCTATCTTCTTTTCACCCTGATGACCTACAGTTCAGCCTATTTACGATTCTATCTTCAATTCACCCTGATGGTCTACAGTTCAGCCTGTTTACCATTCTATCTTCTTTTCACCCTGATGGTTTACAGTTCAGCCTGTTTACCATTCTATCTTCTTTTCACCCTGATGGTTTACAGTTCAGCCTGTTTACCATTCTATCTTCTTTTCACCCTGATGGTCTACAGTTCAGCCTGTTTACCATTCTATCTTCTTTTCACCCTGATGGTCTGCAGTTCAGCCTGTTGATCATTCTATGTCCTTTTCACCCTGATGGCCTACAGTTTAGCCTGGTTACCACTCTATGATCTTTTCACGCTGATTGCATACAGTTCAGCCTTGTTACCACCCTATGATCTTTTCACAGTGATTGCATACAGTTCAGCCTTGTCACCACCCTATGATCTTTTCACGCTGATTGCATACAGTTCAGCCTGGTTACCACCCTATGATCTTTTCACAGTGATTGCATACAGTTCAGCCTTGTTACCATTCTATCTTCTTTTCACCCTGATGGTCTACAGTTCAGCCTGTTTACCATTCTATCTTCTTTTCACCCTGATGGTCTGCAGTTCAGCCTGTTGATCATTCTATGTCCTTTTCACCCTGATGGCCTACAGTTTAGCCTGGTTACCACTCTATGATCTTTTCACGCTGATTGCATACAGTTCAGCCTTGTTACCACCCTATGATCTTTTCACAGTGATTGCATACAGTTCAGCCTTGTCACCACCCTATGATCTTTTCACGCTGATTGCATACAGTTCAGCCTGGTTACCACCCTATGATCTTTTCACAGTGATTGCATACAGTTCAGCCTTGTTACCACCCTAAGATCTTTTCACGCTGATTGCATACGGTTCAGCCTTGTTACCACCCTATGATCTTTTCACTGTGATTGCATACGGTTCAGCCTTGTTACCACCCTATGACTTTTTCACTGTGATTACATACAGTTCAGCCTGGTTACCACCCTATGATCTTTTCACTGTGATTACATACAGTTCAGCCTTTTTACCACCCTATGATCTTTTCACGCTGATTGCATACGGTTCAGCCTTGTTACCACCCTATGATCTTTTCACGCTGATTGCATACGGTTCAGCCTTGTTACCACCCTATGATCTTTTCACTGTGATTGCATACAGTTCAGCCTGGTTACCACCCTATGATCTTTTCACTGTGATTACATACAGTTCAGCCTTGTTACCACCCTATGATCTTTTCACGCTGATTGCATACGGTTCAGCCTTGTTACCACCCTATGATCTTTTCACGCTGATTGCATACGGTTCAGCCTTGTTACCACCCTATGATCTTTTCACTGTGATTGCATACAGTTCAGCCTGGTTACCACCCTATGATCTTTTCACGCTGATTGCATACGGTTCAGCCTTGTTACCACCCTATGATCTTTTCACTGTGATTGCATACAGTTCAACCTGGTTACCACCCTATGATCTTTTCACTGTGATTGCATACAGTTCAGCCTTGTTACCACCCTATGATTTTTTCACGCTGATTGCATACGGTTCAGCCTTGTTACCACCCTATGATCTTTTCACTGTGATTGCATACAGTTCAGCCTTGTTACCACCCTATGATCTTTTCAGGCTGATTGCATACGGTTCAGCCTTGTTACCACCCTATGATCTTTTCACGCTGATTGCATACGGTTCAGCCTTTTAACCACCCTATGATCTTTTCACTGTGATTGCATACAGTTCAGCCTTGTTACCACCCTATGATCTTTTTACGCTGATTAAATGCAGTTCAGCCTTGTTACCACCCTATGATTTTTTCACTGTGATTACATACAGTTCAGCCTGGTTACCACCCTATGATCTTTTCACTGTGATTGCATACAGTTCAGCCTTGTTTCCACCCTATGATCTTTTCACTGTGATTACATACAGTTCAGCCTGGTTACCACCCTATGATCTTTTCACTGTGATTGCATACAGTTCAGTCTGGTTACCACCCTATGATTTTTCACGCTGAACTCTGATTGCCTAGACGAATGTCCTTTCACTCTGGTGGAATTCCATAAAATATTCTATTTGGTTCATTCTGGTGTTTAGTCTTTGCTGTTCAAATTAATTACTGTTTATCCTGGTTATCATCCTATGTTCAGTTCATCCTGGTTACCATAATATCTATTCTGTTCGGCCTAGCTACCATTTTTTATGTTCAATTCATCATGGTGATCATTTTATATAATATAGATTATGTTCAGTTCATTTAAGTTACCATTCTATGTTCTGTTTAGCCTATCAACCATTCTAAGTAGTCCGAAACATCTGCCTTTAATCCAGCCTCTGATGCCTATTGTGAAAGTTGTCGTAGTTCGAGTAGGGTCAGAAAACAGAAAAACAAGGCCCTGTTTAATGGAGATTTACCGCACCTTTATAATCTACTGCATTCATACTTGCCACTGTCCTGTTCATCCTAATAATTATTCTACTTATCCTAATTCTGTTCATTTTTGGAACTACCTTCTCAAACGTCTTGTAAATGGATCAATCAAATCTCGTCTTAGTGTAAATCGAACATTGCATTTTCATGATAAAAAAATTTCAAGGACCATCTGATATCAATATATTTGGCAGCTAATTTGATCAGAAAACCTTTTCTATCACTTGTAGATCAACTAAATGTACGTTGTAACTTTTATTCGATTTGTGTTTCCATTGTCTTTAAGTTGTTTCGTTAGCAATGAAGTTTTTTTTTCTGATTTAAAATGAGATTGTCTGGACAAGATGTCTACTAGCAGAATCTACCTGGTGTCACCTGGTTCCACTACCGCCTGATAGTTTTTATTTCTAATGAATGAAACCCTTGTCTTTCTCATTAAAGATAAAAAGTTAACTGGCTTATATATCGTTATATTGTCGCCATTCGTAGATAAGTTGAGACTAAATAAATTTATATCACATGCATGGCATCTCCCAGGTTCAATATTCTTTATACTGACGATACTGAGACAGACGTCTTAATGTGTTACACAGACACACATTTTTATCCCATTTCAGACGGCCTTGAGACTTACAATAATACAAGTTTTATTGAAGTTTTTAGGATAAATTGAAAAAACATGATGATTTTCATGAGAGAGTCTCCGCACATAGAATTTACTATGGAATATCTCAATAATATCTCATATCTAAACATTAAGTACGGGTCGCATTAGGACAGAATATTTTAGTGCAATGTCAGTCTGACAAATGAATTAAGCAATTCTATTCTGTGCTTATAGGCCAGCCGGAGAAAATTTGCGTGAAGAAAAACACATTAAGTACAAATTTGATATTGTGAAGTACATAATATGACGTACATGTGTCTATATTACAACGGTAAGCCAGGGCATACTCTGACTTTACAGTGATTATTAAAAGGTAATACATGTAGTAATTTTAGAAAACGTGGCTCAATCAACATTGGGTGTTACCTTTTTTCTTCTGCAAACTTAGGTTTATTTACAGGCGCCTACAGTAACTTGAACAAATATAAAGGCGTTTGTGAATAATCGTTAGAAAAAGTCAGATTTTTCTTCGTTCGACATATGAATGAGTTATACAGCTATTTAAACGTTACTATTGACAACATTTTTCAAATGATTAACATAAATGTACGCGCACTTACTACACGTGCGCTCGTTGTATTATAAAATAAGTGTGTATTTAGTATGGTATTAAAGGTTGTTTGGAATCACAAGAACACGGTATTTAAATCTGTGAAATGAAAATAAAGGATCCTGTATTAATGAAACGAACTATAGTTAAGATAAAGTACTAAACAGTTTTGTATACATACTTATAATAATGTTAAACGGCTAATTATTGAATGTAAGGTAAGTTTTGTTTTGTTTTGAAAACTTTAATCAAATTACTTTGATTTCAAACTGATACACTGAGGTCTTATTTTAATTTTCGATTGGACTTCCATACTAGTGCAACATCCATTCTGTAACGACAGTGCCTTTTTGTTTGACGATCTGATTTTTTGATATATATATCAAGTGAAAAAACAAAAAAAATCAAAGTTGGCATTTAATATAACACTATATTTTAGTTAAATAGTTAAAAAGTGAAAAAAAAAACTTAATGTTATTTACAACGAACGAAGGAGAAATTGTCATTTGACAATATCTATACTGCTATCAAAACATCTATCATTCTACGCGCATAGGGTTACGGTAAAAATTAATGTTACTAACTCCCTTCCTATGCCTGCAAGACATTGTACATTGTTTGGATATATAAGTTTGTAGAAGTGGGACACCGTTATATAAATTTTATTAGAGTATTGAATGATGCAATGCTTATACTACATATTGATTATGGTATAATGGTAGGTTGTTTACATATTTATACTTGAGATTACGAAAGCACCCATCGAGGCTGGTGTTTCTCTTAATTTCCCTCTGTATCAAGTTACCATGTTGTTAAAAGTGTCGAGGCTGAGTGAACTGTTTTGAATTAATTTGTTGGTTTAAGAAAACCATGCTAGCTAAAGCAAAACTTTACCAAATACTCGTTGCTATTTGAAAATATTATTGAACCGTTATTTCAACGTTTATGCCATGGATATATCAAGTGGCAATGACTGCTTTAATATGTTCTGTTTAAAATATCAAACATTTTCGGTATTTTGAACCCAAATTCCAGGATCAAACGTAAACCGGAAATTGCGTTTGTTCAACGCCGATCTATGTATACAAATTTAAGGAATGTACCACAAGTCTCATCATATTTATATGTGAATTGTGAAGTTCGTTAAACCAGTGTTGAATTTTAACAATGTTTAAATGTATGTTAATTTTATTGAAATAATTGTAAGAACACGGATTATCATAGTAGGTTGAAGATATCGTTTAACGTCTGTTAATAATGATGATTTTAAAAGATAGATTGATAATGCTGCCTAGCTTAAATAGGTGTCAAATTAAAAATCTGGTAAGCTTACAGAGTATGATAAATGATTATATTAATGACCATTTGGAGTATATTCATTTGGCAATAGGAGCTGTGATCTTTGTAAACAAAGATGGCCGAATCATTTAAGGTACATAAATTATATGGGGTGAAGAAATTGTCAACGCCATGTCCAGTAGAACCACGTGAAAGAAATTCTGAGGGTTGATTGCTGGTATTTACAGCCAATATTTTGATAATCTGGGCATAAGGGATTTTAGAATTTTAGAACAATATTTAAATGGTTTGGATTGAAATGGATGTGTTTCAGAAAAATAGTTTCCAATATTCCTTGGCATACAATCACAGTGGAACCGATTCCACTCTCATTCTTATGTTCTATAAATTAAGATTGCGATATATCAACAATTGGAGGTGGTGGGGGTTTGATTATGTTGAGGTATGCCAATTGTATTTATATTGATCTTATGCGATAGCATTCTTTACATGTTATTACACATCTTGTAAACAGTCAGTACTACTGTCTGATAGCTTTTCTTAATAACTGATATTAGTAATGGTAATCTTGAAATGACATTTCTTTGGTAAAATGAAAACAAATACATATTTTAGACAATAATTTTCTGTGACAAGGAAATACTTGTGAAAATACAAAGAAGAAGACCAAGGTAGATTTCTTTATGGCAGGAATATTCCATTGGTGGTAGTTTTGATAGGACCTTTGTCACTTTTGTGATCTGTCCTATTATGACAGTTGCTCAAAAAATGAATGGCGTGGTCACGTGGGAAAAAGTAGAGGGGTGATCTCTTGGACTTAGTGAACTACGAGCTTTTTTCAGTGTTTATTTAGATACCATACTTGGTGCTGGCGTATGTTGATTAATATTCCATTCCTCGAATGGTAGAATAGAAAATTGTTTTTGCTGTTTTCTGCCGTTATTTTTTCTTCCAAAAAAATATATGAACGCCTGCTTTCAACATCATTTATACGAAAGATTTTGAACAATGGACTCTTGATAAAGACACTAAGTGTATAGAAAATACACCAGTTTTATATTCAATATTTTATATTTTCATACATATTTCAATAATAAAGGGCGTGTGTTAAGAGATTTATTATAAAAGATTACTATGTATAGATAGGGGTATATTTATCACGGCAATATCTGTAAAGTTAAGATTTTAAGATGTTATTGAAATGTAACTAGGAGGTAGGCTTAGGTTTTCATACTCTTCTGGCAGCTCGATGGACCTATGACGTATATTGCCGTCACCTCATTCCGTCGGTCCGTACGTTCGTCCGTCCGCCCACAATTGCTCGTAAACACTCTACAAGGCACAATTCTTGACTGATTTCGATGAAACTTGGTATGGTTGTTTGTAATCACCCAAGGACGAACCCTATTGGAAATCAGACAAATCGAAAAATATTTACTATGAGTTATTGCCCTTGTTCTGGAAACGCCCGTAAACACTCTAGAAGGTGCAATTCATGACGGATTTTGATGAAACTTGGTATAAGTGTTCGTAATCACCCAAGGATAAACTCTATTGAAAAATTGAAAAATATTTAGTATGAGTTATTGCCCTTGTTCTTGAAAACGCATTCAATTTCAGCTCGTAAACACTCTAGAAGACACAATTCTTGACGGATTTTGACGAAACTTGTCATGAGTGTTGGTTATCACCCAAGGATAAACCCTATACCGAAAATGAGAAAAATTGAAAAATAATTAGTATTATTTATTGCCTTGT